CCTGAAGCAGGGGGACAGGTGCACGGACATGTTCTTGTGGCGCTTCTCAAAGCGGTTGTACTTTCGGATGTAGTGGAGGTAGTCTCGGCGGATGACAATAGTTCTCTGCATCTTCATCTTGGTCACCACACCAGAAAGAATCCGCCCTCGGATGGAGACATTACCAGTAAAGGGGCATTTCTTGTCAATGCAGGTGCCCTCAATGGCCTCCTTGGGCGTCTTGAAGCCCAGACCGATATTTTTGTAGTATCGCGGGAGCTTCTCCTTGCCAGTTTCTCCAAGCAGGACCCTCTTCTTATTTTGAAAGATGGTTGGCTGCTTTTGGTAGGCGTGCTCAGTCTGAATGTCCGCCATCTTCCCAGCCGCCTCTTTTGGAGAATTTTTAAAGTACTCAACAACATTATTATTTTCCTTCTAAGGAAATAATTTGGAAGAAAGAAAAAAGCTTTATAAAGTGTTCATTATGGTGCTATATATCATTGGGAAAATAGTACACATTGAAACTTGAACAGTAGGAAAATGATGAAGAAAATACATTTACTTGATTCAGCCATTACAATTATAAAAAATGACTATTACATAGGGACAGGAAAAGTATGCTTTCATATTTTTATTGATCCCAATAGTTCTCAAATGTAAATGTATATCAGAATCACCTGTGAAATGTTTAAACATACTCTTTTCCAGACCCCATCCTGTACCTACTGAATCTGAATCTCTATGGCTGGTCCTATGGTTGGAATCTGTATTTCTAAAGCTGCATTGGTGTTTCTGCACAAACCAGATGGAGCATCACTGATCAATACTAGGATCGCACAATCTGAAAACTAACTGTGATGAAAGATAATATTGAAAGAAGATACGAAAAAATAAAACCAGTTCCATTCACTAGACTAACCAAAAAATAATCATTTATTTTATTTTTACTTATCTAATATATATTGTATAATAATAAATGCAATTTATTAGCATGAGCACATGGGATAAAATCTCTTTTCCTTATATGTATTGTAAAGAAATCTGTCTTCTCCCCTTAATTCTCAACTTTTACATATTTGGCTTTCACCATAAATCTGAGAAAAATCAATTATCTGTGGCCTCTGTTTAAAGAGTTTTGTTCAGACAAGATTTGGCCATTATCAATACTACGTTCCTTTGCCCTATGTAACAGCAAGAGAAGGGCCATGGGATGTTGCTTTGCTAAGAGTCTTAGTATCAAGTCCTGTTGCTGGTATAAATAGGAGGGAAGAAGGGAGATGGCAACCACGTTATTATGAGTCTAACTGTACGCTGGAGATCATGGGGCACACCTGCTGGACTCAGAGGGAGGTGGCACAAATATTAATGAAGTAATGCTTTTTAATGGCTGGAAGAATCTTAGGATTGTCATAAAGAAAATAACCTGTAAACAACCAACCATATGGAAGCCAATCATCCCAAACTCTTGCAATTGCTCATGAAAAACCAATATTATGTACCAAAGACATACTGTGACATTTGCTTTTAGTTACAGTTTTGAATGATACAACCCAGCAATATTGCTCCTGATGGTAGAGCTAGTACCTTAGGCCACTTTTACATTAATGATAACATTCCCATTCATTGCCTTCCAGTATGCTACCTACATTGCTGATGCCCCCAAATACTTTACTTTCTGAATAATTATATCTTTATTTATGCATAATGTTTATTTTTTAATTCCAGTGTAATTAATGTACAGTGTTTGTTATATTAGTTTCAGGTATTCAATATAGTGATTCAACAATTCTATGCATTACTCAATGCCCATCACATTAAGTGTACTCTTAACCTCCTTCACCTATTTCACCCATTCCCCCACCCCAAAATACCCCTTTATTTTGGTATGACTTGATGACCAATCTCTGGCTAAAAGTGGAAGGAACTGGTAGATTGAACCCCAACAAATCTATCTCTCCATTAGTTCCCATTGCCAACTCCCTGGAACTTCCATAGTTCCTATCCTTTCCGAGACCTGTTTTCTCTGATTTTTTCTTTAATTTTGTAATCTACCCCATATTTTTGTGAGCTAAATGTTGCACTTAGTCTCCATCCACCCTCCTTCTCGTTGGGGAGATTGGAAAGCTATAACTACATATGCTGGACTCCCTTGCAGCTAGGTTTTTGTATGCAACTTTGTTCCACTAATGAGATGCACCCAGTGAGTTTCAGGAATCAAATTGTCCTTCCCTCTCCAGGCTGTTTCTTCTGATCAGCAGGAGTGTGGAGATGTGAGTTTTCTCTCTACAGCAGCACTCCATAACAATTCTCTAGCCCCTTTTATATTCAGCAACAGTGCAGCAGTGGCTGGATTGGGGTGGCAGTGGGCTCTTGATCCTAGCTTAGCTTCCACAGTAGCCTCAAAGGGAATAACTCCCCTTGGGTTGGTTTGTATTGTTCAGCAGTTATTCCTGGAATTTCAGCCAAGAATCTTCTCCCTCAGCCCTTCTGACAATTTTTTTAGCTCCTAATTCTCTACATTGTGTCCCTTTCTGATTAAAATATCTGTAGAAGGGTTTTTTTTCTGTACCAAAATCTAGTTCATATACTTCCAACAAATTCCATTTTTGTTTATATTTGCCAAAGTCAGTTTCTGTTGCTTCCAGTTAAAGAACTTTCCTTACAGGTGTCTGGGGTGACATTGGCAGAAACTGAGCTGCTACAATGAAAAGAATTCAATACTTGCTTAGGAGTCAAGAGGTCAAAGGTTGACCATTTAGTAGCATATGACCATAGACATATCACTCACATTTCTGAGCCTCAGTTTCTTCATCTGTAAGGTGAGAATAATAACATTCACTTCATGGGATGATTGCAAGGACTAAATCTGGTAAAGTAAAAATGTGTTTCATATCAATAGGCATCCAACAATTGTTGCTTGTGTCTGCTTTGGCTTATTGAACATAATTAGCAATTATCTGGAAATTTTAAGTTTTTTTTTTTTAATAAAAAGATACTTTGTCATGAGGAAAAAACAGTGTTTTAAGTTCATCAATGGTCCGTTGGTCTATATATATTTTTAAATTCCCTGGCTATCCATTTTTAATTTCCTAGTAGTGGCAAAATGATGAGATAAAATCTCAAGTGGCTTCTCAAGCCACTGAATTAACTAACCCTAGAGCTCTGTTGTTTAACCTACATTTTATTTGGTTTCCCATTACTTGAAGCTGGATGCTAACAGATAACTCTTAGGTTAGGCTCTCTGGGAAAGAGGTCTAAGATGGGTGGTTGATTGGGAAGTACCCTAAGGATTAACACCCATGAGAAGGTGGTGACAACAGGCAGAGTAGGAGAAAGAGGTTGAAGTGCAGTATCATTCCAAAAGCGTTCTCAACCAACCCCACAGGGAGCTCTTGAACCAGGATGTACCATTAGAGCTACCCCAAGTGTAGGCAAGGGTGCTGAGCCTTTATATTCCCATTTTATGATTCTTGCCTTGACCAGTCATTGTGTGTGAGTTGCTCCCAGAAAAGGCTGCATGGCCTTGAGCCAGGCAGTTCTATTCAGCCAAGAGCAACTCTTGAGGAGGAACTCAGCTGTGTGCCCTGAGCAGACAACATTGGCAGCCGCTGGAGGAATGAATGTATATTGGTCCTAAAGGGAGATGGGGCAGTACCCCAGAGCACCCACCATATACACTCAACTTCCAAATCAAGTTACTATGTAAATAGATGGACCCTCACAACAGTGATACATGATAGCTAGATCTGCTTATTATAACCCCAAACCATAAATATGTTGAATCAGGAAATGGCATTGACAGTTTGGTTCTTAGACTCTCCAAGCTATAAGGCACCTGAGAAATTTCGGAGATCACCCTCCTCGTTTTTACAAATGAGGGAACTGAGGCTCACAGTGCAATAAATTCATTCCCCAAAGTCACAGAGCCACTCTGTGGCTCTGGTAGTACCAGATTCAGAAGTTTACTCTTGACTCATTATTCATTGCATGACTTCAGCCCTGCATTTATTTGGCAGATATCTCTGGTTAGCAGGATATTATGCAAAAGTTGTATAATCTATATGTATGATGCTTTAAATAATTCTGAAAAGTACCCTCCAGAGTCCCTTAGTTGTCAAGATTTTTGCATATACATTTTCCATTAGCATAATTGATTAAGCTATAAGTGTCTCTATAAAATTAAACAGTCTTTTGTTATCCAAGTATATTTAAGCCCCTGACAACAGATAGATCAGAAATTTATGTAACCCAACATTTATTCAATTCCAAGGAAGATAACTAGTTCTAATAAAGGCTTCATCTGTGTAATCAGTTTGTGTTCCCTAGTACATTATAATTTCAGTTTTGTAGCTTCTGCACATGCATTATGTCATTTAATCTTCCTAGAAACTGTGACAGGAGCAGGGAGCAAATTATTAGCTCCAATTTAGAGATGAAACTACATATTAAGAGAAATGAAATGACCCACTGAAAGACATGCATCCAGTAAATAGCAGAGTCAGGGCAAATATGGGTCATCTGTGTCACAACCCAGGGTAGCAAACTCACCTTAAGGAGCCCCCCAATGGATCATGCCCTTATACAATCCCCTCCCCCTCCAGTTCTGGTAGAAATTGTGATTTGCTTAGAATAGAGCAAAGGTAATGAGATGTCACCACCCTGATTATGGCAAAGATGACTGGATGTCATTCTTGTGGTTATATTTTGTTATATAAGACTTTGTAACTGGAGAGAGGCATTCCTCCTGGTCTTGAAGAAACAAACTGCCATGTTGTAAACCACTAATCTGGAGGTCCACATAGCAGGGAACTGCAGGAAGCCCCTGGTACCTGAGGGTGGCATCTGGCCAACAGCCATCAAAATGCTGGGGCCATCATCTGAATTCTGCCAACAACCTAAATGATCTTGGAAGCAAATCCTTCCCCACCTGGGCCCCCAGATGAGAACACAGCCCATCTGCCAACCACGTTGCAGCCTTGTAAAGTCCTGAGCAGACTGTCTCTGGTTTCCCATTTATTTTTATTTTTTTTAAGATTTTATTTATTTTCTTGAGAGAGCAAGAGCACAAGCAGAGGAAGGGGCAGGCAGAGGAAGAAGCAGGCTCCCTAATGAGCAAGGAGCCCAATGTGGGGCTCAATCCCAGGATCCTGGGATCATGACCTAAGCTGAAGGCAGACACTTAATCGACTGAGCCACCCAGGCACCCCCTGGGTTCCTATTTATACACAAAACATGCCCAGACTCCTGACCCACAGAAACTGTGAGATAATAAATGTGTCTTGCTTGAAGCTGCTAAGTTGGTGGTAATTTGTTATATAACACTAGAAAACTATCACAACAGTATGGTATTGGCAGAAACATAGACACATAGATCAATAGAATA